CCTGCCATGGCAGGGGGTCGGACTAGATGATCTGCTCAGGTCCCTTCCGACCCTAGAAACTATGAAACTATGAAACTACTCCCGACCCACAGCTGTCTCTGTCTCATGTGCCAGCAGCTGCTGGGGCTTGCATGCAGAGCACGTGATCCCCCAACAGCCAATCACCTTCCCCCACTGCTCCCAGCCCCAAGCAACAAAGCCAGAAGTGCCAGGGAAAAGCAGAGGCAGAGCAAAAACCCAGACATTTCCTTGGATTTTAAAAACCTTCCTGGAAGGAGGACAGGGGAGCAAAAAAGAGGACTAGTTCAGGAAAACCCAGATGTATGGTAACCCTAGTGTAACTGAGTGGGGTGCTGAGGGCAGTCCTGGGTATCACTTTTGGGAGGGGTGGAAAAATGGTTGCTGCCACAGCTGGCAGCTGACTGTGCCACTACCACTGCTTTTGGCAGAGTTAGCGCCAATGCTGCCTCATGTCATAGTGCTGCCCAGCATGCCCGGCATATGGGGCTGCCCTGTTATGCCTTTGCTCATGATGAAGGTATTCTGGTGTTGTACTGCGATCAAATTCAGTGTGTATACTTCTGTGCTTCCAAGTAGTATATGGTACTTCTTTGTGTGGCAGCTACTATATAGTCCTGTGTTGTAGGTTTCTTAGATGTTCACAGGCCTCAGAATGGTCTTATGACCTCAGAATGACAAGCACTCGGTCATATTTTTCCAATATAGTATTCTTCAAATGTTCCAAGGTTTACTTTGCAGCTGGCTCCATAATCCATCTGGAATCACATTGGCTGTTGGCCCAATAGTATAGCTGTAAATGTGGCCATCTTCTTCTGCAGCATGTGTCACTGGGATACTTTGAACTGCCACTAATGATACCCTCCTCTTTATTATGTTTTCTCCATCTTAGCTTAGTGATTTAAGATGCAGCACCTGAGAGCAGGCTGAGTACTGGGCTAATGAGAAATCCCTGGATAGGGTGGAGGCTATGTGACCAAAAGGGGTGAAGCCTCAGCCCATTAACAACCTGGCTTATGAGCCAGAGGACTCGGTTTGTCCCTGACCCTTGCTGAGGGAAAAACTCCTGCTGGCCTGGCCTGGGCAGAGATGGAGAGCCTAGGCATCTCAAGTACCTGGAGAAGCTGCAAAGAGTCAGCAGTTGGAGGGCTGGAGTTTGCTGGGAGCTAGCAAGACCCAGGACAGGTTTATGTTTGAACACTGGCTGACATAGAGCTAGAGGTTTAGGTAGTGGCTATGGAGTGGTATGGTGGCTACCAGTGGGAGTGCCTGGGAGGCACCCTGCAGTAGGAGAGGATAAGTCACAGAGAGAGAGCCCTGGAGGGGTCTGGGACATGATGGGATCCATGGAGCTAAAGCTAAGCAGTTGGAGGCTGGCAATAACAGCCTTGCAGAGCTGGGGACTCAGGAGAGCTGAAACCAGTACAAGGCAGGGGCCCAGTATGAAAGAGAGTGGTCCAGTCAGGGTCAGGGACCTGGTGAGCCAGAGCATCAGGGCTGGAGCATGAGAGGGCAGAGCCAGAGGGCCTGCTGCCCCAGAGGACAGGGATATCTGGGAGGCATGGGTGTAGCTATGGGGTTGGTTGGAGAGCAAGATTTTAGTTCTTAAGGCAATTATGATCATAGGGTCATGACTGGAGCTGATAGGGCCCAGTGGGAGTCCCCCCATACAATGGGGTTGGAGCTGTGGGAAGTGAGACTGAGGAGTGGGGTCAGAGTCCCATACCAAGGCTACATGCAGTGGGGGTGGAGCTCCAAGTCAAGTGGGCCAATTTGGGTGAAGACTGAAAGCGAGAAGAGGAGTCGTGTTCAGGGTAGAGAGTCAAGCCCAGGGAGGAGCAGAACTAGGTGGAGCACCCAGAGCTCACTGGCCTCTGAGGGCAGCCACCCCACTTTATTTTTACCATCAAGGCTAGGCAGGAGGGTGACCCTGAGAGGCCAGAATGGGCAAGCAGAGCAGGCTTAAGGCAGCCACCAAAGGATGGCAGATGCCTTCAGGACCCATCCTGCTACAGCAATGTTATTATTACAGCTGGAATTCTGTCCGTCACAACCCTCACGTTCTTACTGTTGCATGATATCTATTGCAAGATTCTCTGTAGCAAAGCTTCACTCTCCACTTTTATCTTTTCTTCAGCAGCTAGAATGGAACTACTGTATCCCATTCGTGTGAAACCTTTTCACATACTAAATAGTCTGACTGTAGGCCTCTCTATTCTACCACTTAGCTATGTCCAATTCCCATAGCTAGGATGAGGGCCCACGGGTTCTGGAACCTGGTTTCTGCTCTGGTCTGAAATTGCTGAAACTTGATGACTTTCCAGGTAGGCTGCAAAAGCTATTTTATTAATTTATTAGATGGGGCTTTGGGAGGTGGCTTGGGGACTTGAGAATGTGATACTGAAGAGGCGTATCATGAGGACTGTTTTGCTGCTTTGATTATTTGGCTGACTGAGTTAATTCATTTATGTATGATAACACTTTTTTTTTTCTTGCTAGGTGGTCTGCATTTGCAAATACAAGTCAGATTATTATTAAGACACCTAAAGCTTTTTGCCTGGGTATCTTTTATGGTTAGTTATATCTAAAGACATAAGACATAATAATTGTTAGTATTTCTTTTTCTCTTGTAATTTTCTGTTTTATGTAAATAGTTTGTTTATCCTACCACACTTCATTTCTGAATCCTAGTTGATTACAGGAAAAAAGATTTCTTCTTCCTACTATGGAAGGAAGCAATGTAGCATCATACAAAATCTAATATCCTTTGTACTCGTGTGAATGCTTAATGCCAAGTTCATCAGTGGTGTCACTCTAATGCAATCAATGGACTGAGACCAAGGAAGGATTTTGTCTCTGATGTCCAAACTATTGTTTGGACATCATTTAAGCCGTGACTTAAGTAAACGTTATAAGGAAGCAACTATTTAAAATGTTTAATAATCAATATCTTTAGCTAATACTAAACACTTTTTTTATTTAGTCATCACAACTTAATCACAGACAAAATTTTGCTAACCTCCCACCAAACTGCTGTAGTAACTCCAGCAATATTAATGCTATTCTGTTTTTACACTTATAAAACCGATCCTATGTTTCATCCTTTTGTCAAGTTCCAACTCAGAATAATACTTGTACATCAGCCGGTTAAAAATCCAAAACCACAGTAATTTTATTTCTTAATTCTCAGGACTTTCTTCTATTCTTAGATATGCATGTGGCTTTGGAAGCTCTTTCACATATATCAGCAAGCAGAATTTGAGCTCACGTATTCAGCACTTGTCTGAGGAAGAACGAATGTGAGAGACAACTACTTTTCATCTTTAGAGCTCAGCACAGATAGAAACTTGGAGGCCCAAATCTTCAGCGTTATCAATTTCTGTGGCAATGTTCACATGAAGGAGGGCTGCAAAACAGGGCCTGTTGTGGTTTTTTTTTGGTGTTTTGGGTGTTTTTTTTAGTGGGTGGGGTTTTTTGGGGTTTTTTGTTTGTGTGGGTTTTTGTGGTGTGCTTTAAATTCTGCCTTTGTACTGGGCAAAAGACAAGCTAAATGAAATTGGCCAACACTTTATTTTTCAACCTAATAGCGCTGACTGTTTGACATGTGACTATTTGTGGCTACAAGCCAGTTAGCTGCCAGCTAGGTATTTGCATGGAGATTGGTGAAACATCTTCTGGCTGGCAAATTACATTATATGTCTGTCCCTCTGCCCAGAAATAAACAACACATTTCTTTTCCTTAATGCATTGCATTATACATAACCAAAACCATAAACTTTTTTAATATGCGAGTGTTCTTCAGTCTAGCAGTCAAATGAGACATAATATTAAAGACTGTCTTAAGATGAGAAAGGGATACCATTTAAGATGACTGTCTATGGAAGATTTGCCAGTTTAAGAATCAATATAACAATTTATTTAACAGTTGGTCCATCAAAACTTAAAACTGGCTGATCAGCAACTTCTGGCAATACAAAGTCATCTGCAAGTGTGAGTACTTCTCCATGTCATCCAGGGTGCTTTTCTGGTCTTTTAGCAACATATTTTCATTGTTTGGGCTGTATGTGGCCATCGTTTTTGAAGTGCCATCTGAAATGGTATGGATATTTTGTGTGGGTAGGTCTTTATTGACTTGTATATGCAATTTTCTTTGCTATAGCAGGTTACGTATACCATTTTCTTTGCTATACCAGGAAGAACTAACTCTATAAGTAAAGATTAACCTCTCATTGCCCACGATTCCTTTTCTTTTATCTTACAGGATTCCATAACCCATTCCCCCTCCAATTCAACCTATCTATCTGAATTGCTGAAAGCATAATGCTCACATATGAGAGATAAGTAAGTGAGCTTGCTTTCTGTTCCATAGGGATGAACTATAGTGTATGCAGATTATTATGAGAAGAAAATAATATCAGAGAGAGGTGGCTTTTTAAAAAGGCATCAGTAGCATTAGTGTCATGTGTGAAGCACCCATTTGTGACAACTGTACAGACCTTTCAATGGAAAATTGTGCTGTGCTACCTTTTAAAGTATGAAATGCTAATTTTGGATTTACAGTTTTTTGAACTGGAGGGCTGCATTTTGCATGGAATTTTGTTTAATTTCCCAGTGAAAAAAGGCATTTGAAACACAACTGCCTACAGCCAACTGTCAACAAAAATCAACTGTAATAGCACACAGCCTGTCACTGATTTATGTGGTGATGTGGTAATCTTCTCAATTTAGCTGGATATTTCTTCTTCATACAAAATAGCTGAAAGTCTTGCTAGACATTTATGAATATTGGGAGGTACTATTAGGAAGATAATGGGGCCAGATTAAAGAAGTGTTCACCAGTTCAAGATGTCAGTAAAAGAGGCAGAAAGTGGAAAGAATATATGGACCCTTGGTAAAAGTGAACTTCATATTTTCAGAGTTGCTTAAGATTGGGAGATGGCATATTGAATTCCATCTGCCATGAAAGCATCTTTCTAAGAGAAGGGTTGGGGGAGGGGGGTTGCTATACTGGATTTTTTTTTGCAGAAATCTGTTTTTGTTTACAAAGATGGTAAAACGAGAATCTTTGATAGTGGCTGCAGAGAGGACAAGGCAGAGTGATCTCCTGGCAACAAGAGTTTTGTGGCCTTTTACCTTCTTTGAAGGCCTGTGCTTTCAATGTGGTCGTTTTATATTAATCTACATCGCTGAGTACTGGCAAGTAAGATATCACACTCCACATATTACAGCTATGCAAAGTAATTGGCCTCTCAGAAAGAGCTAGAACTAATGCAGACAAAATGATGCTGCACGACTTGAGCTGCAAATAAAGAGGCAAGTTTGTGTTTTACAAAAAATGTATAATTTACCAGGCATTTCATTACGCCGTATAAAGAAGGCAAAAATGATAATTGAAAATAAATGTGGCTGCCTAGCTATAGTATATGCTGCCAGCGTTACTTGAAATAGAAGCACTTTCTTGCTGAAGATAGTTAAAATTTTGATGCAACTTCTGTCTGCAGACTTGTATAACGTATCTTGTTAAATTTGTCTCAGTTTCAGTATTTGCTACAGAGAAGCCAGCAAAATTTAAGGCTCTGTCTGTGTATTTATATACCTGCGGCTTTATACAATTGTATTAATTATTAACAGCATGTACTGTAGATGAATGCATGTATGCATATCTGAGTGAATATATATGTTGTTACATTTATTACCGTGGGCTCCCAGTAGTGCCTGCTATCTTTAAGGTTGCCAAAGAAATTCCATTATAAACCCCTGTCTTCTGAGGAAGAGTTACAAATATAGAAATACCAGAGTAATCTCCCCCCTATCCCCCTACATGTCTGGGCAGAGGGAATTCTAAAGTGCTGTTTTCCTGACTATAGACAAAGACGGGACATACTTTCTAGTAAGTGAGGCTGTTAAGAGTCACCCAGAAAAAGAAATGAGCATAGAAATTGTTATTTTGCCATGCTTATGCCAGACCTGCCCCACCTACCCTCTGGCAAGGACAAGTTGTTAAAATGTATGTTGACCATCTGTGATTGTCCTCACTTGTGATTTTGGAGCAGCCCACTCCCTTTCCAGAACGGGAGAAATCTTTCTCTAGGAAGCTTCTTCACATGTCCTTATACATCACAGAAGAGCAAATGCTGATACATTCTTCAGGGCTTATTCTTTTCAGAAGAACTTGCATTCAGTAAGAAAGGAAAATGTTACTATGTGGGTTTTGACCTGAAAATACTGAACTCTCTTAATGACACGTCTGTTTTGGAATAAACTAGGGAAGTGAATACAAGTCCAAAAAGGGAAACGAAAGACTGGAGGACAGACCTCCTTACAAAGTTGTAGGGCCCAAGAAAGACAACAAAGTGGGGGTTGCTCTGAGCCCAAGGTACTTTTTTATTAAATCACACACTTCCAACTCTCTGCTTAATACGTGTGCCTCTATGGTGCTTCACCCTCCAGATCTCTGTGTCTAGAAAACTACACTATACAGAGGTATGTTTTCAGGTACTAGTATCCCCACAAGAAACCATGAGAAAAGAGCAACAATTGGTGATGCCTGTCGATCTCTCCCTAATACTGCTAGGTAAGTTTGAGAGGTCTAAGGCCTGGCTACATGGACACAACTCAATGATAGGTGCTTAGTACACCACTGAATTGCTGTGACTCCCCCACTGAATCACACCCACATCCACACCCACATGTCAATGGGACAGGGAAGGAATGAACTGAATATCAAAAATGGAACAGTCAAAGGGGGAAATTCCTGTTCCTTGTAACTGCATTTGTGCATGTGTTTAATTTCATGGTTTTAACTGTTCTATTTTTATTTTCTTTTGACTTTCTCCAGAAACCACTGCCTCATGTAAACTGCTTCATTTAGCATGATGTGGATATATTTGGCTTAGTCAGGGGCATTGCATTTGTTGAACCTTCAAACAAGAATGCATAACAAGCAATGAAATGAAGAAACAAAATAAAGCCCAAATGAAACAACCCCCCTGCCAACCTTTTGAGAATAATGCCTTAACCTATATTAGTTAAGGGATGAATATTGTCTACTCCTTCTCCATCATCTGCCAGAGAGAAAGATTTGTCGCTAGCTGTTGAACTCTCCAGTGTTCAGCTATTCAATGTGGCCATCTACTCAACAACACCAAACTATCCAAGTCTTTTTTTTTTGATGGAACTGATGATATGAAATGAAAAGGAACATTTAAAAATCATTTTAAGAAGTTCAAAAGTTTGTTTTCATGTATAAGCAAAATGCTAGCTGAATATATAAAAGGACAATGCCTGTTCTCACTAACACCCAGCTTGATGGAATCACCCTCATACAAGAAAATTTGCCACAAAGGGATTCAAAATAGTTATGCTTTGAGGTAAACATTGCGGTAGCGTTCCAGTCCAATAACTCTGTAAGAAAAAGCAAGTCCACAGTAGAGCATAGGAGGGGGAATTCAACACCCACAAAGTTGCAATTATGAAGAACCAGAATTTATTGGGCATGGAATATATTGTCACTAAATAGCTCAGCAGTTCTCATGAGTCTTTGCTAAGGTTCCAAATATGTAGTCTCAGACAGAGGATTTCTTTTCTTCAAGGCTTTTATTAAAAACCAGTTCAGGTAAATGCTGACAGTAAACAAGCAAACCTGTTGAATCACAAGTCTGCACCTACGCAGGCAAGACGATGTCTTTCGGTGACATTTCAGAGTGCTAACAGCTGAAGAAAATTCTGTTTTACCCTTGTTACTTAAAATAAAACAAACACAAAAGAAAACAGCTGCTCTTGCTATGAAGTTTAGTTTCATTTTAAAGATAGTCTTGTGCTTCTGTTTCACCGTTACTGTTTCCCGAAGCCATTTTGCCCTGAGGTTTCAGTGCCTCTAAAGTTCATTGGCTAAAGAGTCATTTTCCCATAAGGCCCTGCGGACCCCTGTGCTCCATATCCCTGGTCAGGTGTTTTAAGCTGTCAAAGAAAACACCTCTTGGCTCCTTCAAAGAGTGTTTTACAATGTTCAGCGTGCTGAGACATAATTTTGGCAGTTCAGTAACTTCTCTGTGGATGCTCATGCAAGGCAGATGCAATCAGTGATGCTGATAGTTATGTATTACAAGAATAAGACTTAGCATTTTGATTCAAGGAATATCATTTGTATGTGGGGACACAGCAGTGCCCTTCAGCCTCTGTGAGATCACTGCCATATTTGCTCTGTCCTGCCTTTTGTATATGTGATTCTTAAGGAATGGAGTCCTATGGACCACCAGTATTCGATATTCAACATAACTCCATCCAGCCTTCCCTGAGTTGCCTTCTTCATAGCAGGACCATTCTCTGAACTCCAGGTATACATTTTTATCACCTTCCAAATCCTAGGCTATCTTATGAAACATGCCATGAGGCTAATGAAAATACTTCAGCTTCCAAAACGGTTGCTGACAAAGGCACTCTTTGGTTACTGACACTCTCCCTTTCTAGGATGATTGTGAAGTGCAGGTAAAAGGCAAATAGTAGTTTGACTGACTACTCCTGTCCTTAGTCTTTGCAGAGCTAAGGGCCTAAGTTTGGCCTTGATAATCATCTTCAGCCCCCATTTTTAACTGACAAAAAAGTATTTATAGAGAGGTCAGCACAGGAGGGAGCTAGCCTCTCACTTTAATGCAGGATTGAACTGATGTGAAATGGAAAGCAAATTTTTTTTTTGAAAAAGGGACAATGACAAAAACAACTGAAGACCTAAAAGAAAACAAAAGAGGAATTTCAGTAAAGCAACTGTCAGGCTTTTGAAGACAGTGAACACCAAGGGAAAGAAAACAAATAGGAAATAGAAGGGGATGAAAAATTAAAATAAAAAATTGGGGAAAACCCCTTCAGTAACTCAGATGAAAACTAATCATACTTGTTTTCCATTATGAAGCTGATTTTATAAGGTAGAGAAAGAACAGATTCCTTTGGCAGCTTTGAAAGTCTTCTTTTAACAGTCTGTATTGTATTTATTGAATCATCCAGCTCATCATCCTCTTAAAGCAGGATTGTCCTTTGCAATGTAAGTTAGGTATAGACATTCAAAAAACCTGAGGTGGAATCGATCTACATTATGTGGTTTTCTGTAAGTGGTATATCTTAGATCAGTAGTGAACAGAACACACATTCGCCTTTTGGACAGGGGGAGGTGCAAATCTTAGACTGGGTTCTGCCCTTTGTAAACCAGTCTATCTGTGCCAAACTTCTTTCAGTTACAGCTATCGCATGGTTCTGTGTGCTGAACTTCTGTTATGGGCATAGACCAGTTTCCAATCACTTACACCAGTAAAAGTGTAATATCTGTGCCTGGCCATGGTTGTCCATGTTGGTTAAAAAATGGCTTGAGTGGTGTGGTTTCTACCACGTTGTGACACTGTCCCACAATAAATTTGACTGTTAGCAAAGCTTTCCTGATATTTGGGCCAAGCGTTTCTTTGCTTCATTCTATCTCACTGCACCTAATTAATCCACCACTGTACATGATTCTTGCCCCTGATATGCATGTCTCACCTTCAAACATGGTTGATATTTATGATATATCCCTTTAGTGATTATTAAGTGATTATCCGTAGATGGTCATGAAGATTTTATAGGAGACCATGTATTTAAGGAAGTCAGAGTTTATTGATTTTTCTGTCACAATGACAGAAGACGACTTTGTTTATAAGGGGACAGACCTGCCAGTTTTGTAAGCATTACGGTATTTAGATTAGGTGGAATAAAAGCTGTCGTCCTTACTCAGGCAAAATTCCAGTTGATTATACTGAGAATTTGCCTGCAAATACCTACGCTCATACTTAACTTTCTTTGTAGGAATACTCCCTTTGGAATCAATGAAAGTGCTCATGTGCTTAGGGTTAAGCACACGTGTAAAACATTTGCTAGTATCCATCTCCAAATGATCTTAATTAAAGCACTTAGTGATAAGGGCTTGTTCCAAAGCCCTAAGAAGTTAATAGAAAGGCACCCACTGATTTCAGTGGACTTTGGATCAGGTTCTAAAACCTGCCTTCTGGTGCTAAGAAAAAAGGGAAAAGAGGCCTCTTACTGTGTTTGTGCAAGCAGAAAGGATATCTTCACAGCACACAAAAAGAATGGTGGCCTGCTCATAAATGTCAGAACCTATACTAGGTGCCTCATTGTGAGAATCTTAATGGACCCTGTGGTTTGGGTCAGCGGTCGCAGTTTATAGGGTGCAAATCCTATTAAGTTCAATTGGGGCATGATTTCACTGATGGTGTATAGCTGTATATATATAGGGCTTTCTATTAACTTCTAAGGGAAGTGTGTGTGCGTGTGTGTGTGAATATATAGCTATATAAATATAAAGAACCCATGCATTTACATATTATCTACAAATATAATCTGATATAGACTCTAGCACATAGCTCACACAGCTGTACTGCGTACAGAGCATGCATAAGTATTCTGTGTGTGTGAGAGTGCATGTGTTCTCTGCAAGCTACACTACACATTAATAAGACAATCCATATATTGTGTTAAGACATACAGTATGCAGACAATGCTCCAGGTACTGATATTTTTTTTTGTAAATCCTGAAATATAGCTGATATGGTCCACTGCAAAATGAACCTATATTGGAAATGGCAAAATTGTAATGTAAAATATACTGGGGTCAGTCGGGTGTGATGTTTTTTGCATACATTTTTTCTCCCTTGACCCATGCCATTCTCCTGCATATATGGAAAAAAGCTTCATCTCACACAGAAATGTGATGTCCTTTACTGCCAGAGGCTGTTGCTGTTTTAAATGAGGAAAAAGCACAATGCATGAAGAAGGAAAATTAAAGCATATTCATTTTGGAAATTAGATACGGTGTCAGGAGACTCTCTGGAAATAGCACAGTTTGAATGGAGTACCAGACTACAAGACAGTTCACTGAACTTTGACCATTATTTATACCTTAGATGCTTTTGAAATGGGGAGATACAAAGTAGTCATAGCTGCATAATTGTGGATTGTGTCTTCACTAGATGCTTATCTTTTCCATTAGTATATGTAAGTATAGTATATATATAAGACTATATAGTATAATTACTATATATTGTCAGGACTTTTGGATTTTTTCATTTCTGGTAGACAGGGACTGGAGATGTCCATCTATATGCTGTTACCACCCAAATACTGAGCTTGTTATGCAGTACGTAATGAGTACTTTTGTGATTGCTCCCAGAATCACCATCTGTAAGGCACAATATTCTTCCCAGGATAGATTTTGCTACGCATCATCTTTGGAAATAATAATAATAATCTAAGGGTGGGTGGTTGCTGGCCCTAGGTTACGCAGGTAACCCTAGTATTCATCTGTCTTCAAGCCCTTATACACCTTGGCTTCCCTTGTCCCTTGACCTTTTTAAAACCCATCTTAACCTGTCTCTCACTTCTGCCTAGTGCTACTTGTTTTAATCCCATTTAACTGCGTTATTCCCCCTTTGCCAAGGCAGGTACATTAAACAAAATATCACTATGTACTGGGTTTCACATGTTGTCCCATTACAATTATAATGCCATCTCAACAGACAAGCAGCTGTTAAATCTAGGATATGTGTGACTAATCCTTTGCTATACCTAAAATGTGTTGTCTCTTTTTTTTTTCTTTTAAGAACTGCAAGGCAATAGCTCTATGATTTGTTTTTTCATTCATGAAAATAGACTGAAAATATAAAGACGAGAAGATTTTAGTGTAATTAATGTTCTCAAGAAAGCTATGTTCCGAGTGACCTTTAGCATTGGTTCACAGTGAGGTTTGGGGGTTGTTTTTAACTCTTTCCGCTATTTTTTTTTCTGCCTTTTTTGTGGTTTTGCAGCTAACTACAGCTCAAGGCAGCATAATGATTGCCTAAATTTCCACCATCAAATTAGAATGTCATCCAAACCCTTTGCTGCTGGGGAAGGGCTTGCTTGATGCTAGAGGCCATCTCCTGGGCAGCTAGCTCAGTGAGAGCTCTGAGGATTAGAATGGAGAACTTATATCATAGCTGTTCCCGGGGCTGTTTCCCCACTTTCTGTAACAGAATGATGGTAAGATGGGACGGTTGGTGTTTAAAACAGTATAACAATGCCACCTTCCTTTTTTTCTCTGATGTTTAGCGTCACATTAAGATAAGTGTAAACTTGTGTGCATCCACTGTGAGGTGACCACTTTGTCTTTTGCCGTCTCCACTTAGCTTTATGTACAGTACAACCCATGGGAGAGAGAAAAAAAACAGAACAGACACTCCTTCTGCCACGGGAGATGCTTTTCTTCCTTGGACCAGAAGCTCCCCTCCTATCACTAGCCAGTAACAACCCTTCTGTTCATCCTTATGTCAAAGTCACACAACTACATTAATAGTGATCTCTGACAATTAGAGAAGAACTGAAATGATTTGGCAACCTTTGGGTACTTCTGAACCTGAGGGTGTATTCTGATCCCTTTTAGTCAACTGGGTATCTTGGCAACTATCCACTCATCACCTACCCCTTCCAAAGGGTGATATAGTAGCTAGGACTTTTCAGTCCAGCTGGGGCCAGGGAATGGAGAAGAATTGGAAGGGGAATTTTGCTAGAGAGGCATCGTTTTGCCTGATAAGCTGCTCTTTGTTTCTTGTTCTTGCTGAGGCATGCCAGGCATTGTCAGGTTTTCTCTGTTTGAGATATAGGCAATTGAATAAGAGTCTCATTTTTTTAGAACCTCTTGCTAGATGGTTTATTTCTGGAGAAAGGGCTGGGAACTGAACAGAGGGAAAAATTCACCATGTGAGGTCAAATTAAAAAAAAAGATACAGTCTCAATAAAAGAAAAAAAATCTGTGTGGTTTTTATTTTCAAGCAGGTTTTTCAGTCTTAGTTGTATTTGGCTGTCCAGTGAGGCTCTGGCTGCAATGCCGATTACCCTAAAGAACGTAGACCAGTGTTTGGAAATACATGGTAAACTTTACAAGGTGAGCAGTGATCTCAGATGCCTTGATTTTTTGGGGCCCATTATGAGATTCTTGAAGAAAAATGTTGTTGTAGAAAATGTTGAGCATTCACACCCTGAGAATCAGACTGGTTTAAAGTGTCTCAAGGGAGTCTCCAGAAACTGAGGCACAATGACAGATTGCTGTGTGACTAGACTTTTACTGAAGCAGATTTCAAGAGATTTAAATTTGCCCTGGCTTTGAAAAAGATTACTCCAGCCTGGGACTCAGTCCTGACCAAGGGCTGTGTCACACATTACATTGAAGACTTGTTAACTGCATTTAAATGCAAGTATTGGCACATTCAAATAGTTAAACATATGCTGAGTGTGCTCATATCATACCAAAGTTAGGACTTTTTGTGGGAGGCGTATTCCCAGATTGTATTAAGTAGCACATGTTCTGTTATTGTCTGACCACTCCATGGAGATAATAATTTGCAATCCTGGGACTGGGATCCACAATCAGCTGACTGTTGGACCCCGTCCTGGGAGCACACCAGAGTCTCAAGCACTCTGGTGCAATACCTGTTGGTTCCAGGCCAGGCACCATGCTAGAGACTTCAACAGGCCCCAGCAAGGTATGGGGGGGCTGCGACCAGCAATCAGCTGGTTCAAGATCCCAGTCCCCCCATGTTTGCAGCTCCTAAAAACCATGTTTGAACCTCATGGGAGCCAGTTTAAGACTCTGGTGCATTGCCAGGCCTGGTCTAGCCCTCAAACTTTATGAGA